CCCCCCCGCATTCCCATTATCGGCAAGCATAAAGCTAAAAACTTTAACTGCTGACAAGGAAAAAGAGTGAATAAACGCAGAGGAAAGAGAGAACAAGAAAAAAGTAAGGAAAATGGAAAAAACCACAGAGCGAAATAAGGGCACAACTTGGTATGAAAATGTACAAGTTGTATGCCAAGCGCTAAGGAGCAGGGGACTGTAAAGGAGTTGAAATTTGAAGGAGACTCTGCAGAGAAACTTCAGTGGGCCCTTCCGACTGATAGAAAGGGGAGACATCACTGCTGTGCAAGCACACCAAGCCCTATCACAATCAAGGAGGCGTCTGACCAGACCATGCTGCACTTTAACAACACAGCTGTAGCAGTTTTTTTTCAACTAGGAGCTGCTGCATTCACAACAAGCCTTCCTGTAGCAAGCAACAGTTTTTAGCAAGGGGAAATATAATAGTTTGACAAACTTATACTGAGTAACCATGGACATATTAATCTGCCCGTAAGATGCCCCATAAGATCAGTCCCTAGCTTGCTGTCCTGACCGGCTTACGGCCTCGTCAATCACTCAGAAGCTAATGTGCAAACCACAAAAAAAAAAAAAGAAAATCCACCCGCACTATTCCAACGTGACCAATTCAAAGTGAACATTAGTGTCTTTTCTCCTTCATGTAGTCCCGTTCAGTTCTGTGAGTGTGCGTGTGTGTGGTGACAGCCGACCCCGTCGCTCAGGATCGTTTGAGGTGCGCCAGCCTCTGCAGCAGCTGCAGCTGCCTGGCTTTCAGCTGCTTCCTCTCCTGAGCCTTCTGCCTCTCGCTGACGTGCAGCTGCTGCAGGTACTCCGTGGCTCGCGTTAGGATCGCCACCTTCGGCGTCTTGGGGCAGTCCGCTAAGCCCGGGATCTCGTCCCGCAGTGACAGGAAGCGCGAGCGCAGGTCGTTCCTCCGCTTGCGTTCCAGGAAGTTGTGCGCCTTGCGTTTGTCTGTGTCCTCGCAGTCTGAGGACTGGGGGCTGGAGAGGTGGGAGAAGAAGTGGGACTTTGAGGAGAAGCTGTGGGGGTGGGAGTTTGGGGTGGAGGAAGAGGAAGAGGAAGAGGAGGGAGGAGATGAAGGTGACGTGGAGGAGGTAGGAGAAGAGGCGCTGAGGTTAGGTGACTCGGACCTGACTCCAGCCACGGTTACATGAGACTTCCTGCTGTCTAAGTTCAGAGGGGCGTGGCCGGGCCGAGGCTGGTGGTAGTGAGAGTTCTGGTGCAGCTGGGTGGCCTGGGTGGAGGCCTCCTGCCGGACCCTCTTCCGAGGCGGCTCAACCGGAGGAGGGAGCGTGTCCGGGGAGGGCGCAGCATAATTGTGCTGCTGTTGGTGGATAGAGATGTGGAAACGCTTCATGCCGGGGTCGAGGGGGTCCGCGCGCACAGTTATCGTCACCGGTTTACGAGCGTTGACCAGTCGGCGAGGTTTGCGTTGCTGCTTGTGCTCCACCGTCACCACGTCAATCTCCTCTTCATCCTCATCTTTGTCATCTTCATCATCTGAAAAGAGGGAAGAGGGAAGGTATTGATTATACAGAGTGCCTGGTGCTGACTGCAAGGGGACAGCTGAGGTTGGAAAGATGAGTCACCTCACTGGACATACAAATAAACAAAAATAGACAAGAAAAATCAACTTCACACAACCCTTACAAAATCTACATAATCTCTCACACACACACACACACACACACACACACACACACTACAGAATACATTATGATTCACATTGGAAACTGGCTCTCTTCACTCATGTGGACTGAGTGAGGATGAGAGGCAGAGAGGGGTTAGGCGAAGAAGCAGATTAGAAACTCTTCAACTTGCTAAAATGAGCCGACTGATATTCAACGCCGCTCACGTTTAAAATCATTTGCTGCTCTATTTACTGGAGTGGAAGCGGGGTATTATCCATGAGGAAAGGTCTTATCGACTTGATTCCCGCCAACTGACTATACTCTTGGGAGATTTTCAACGCTCTTGTAAATTGAAACACACTTTTAAAGTAATTGCACCTCCGTGTATTTGACTGCTCAGAAAGTAGTAATCTCTATATGAATAACACATAAAGAGGACCTGGACAAAGAGCTTTGGAGGGGAGGGGTACCTATTATTAACAACAGCATTTATATGACAAAAGATGACATCTCATATTACAAGGTACACAGAATGAAGTAGCCCTATAATGGCTCTTTATTCTAACTTAAGCATATATTTATTCTCTCTGATTGCTCATTCTCCCCTTCTTTGAGCGCATATTATCTCCTAAAATGGTGTGAAAGACTGCCTCAAACTCTGAATTCTGCAGCCCTAGCCGACCTCCTAAATGGCTAATCCTGCTCTATTCACAGCCAAAGCTGGCTCCGACCAAATCCACCCACTGACACAATTGGCGCTGCAGCCTGTTGAGTGGAGGAATGCAGCAACAAGTTCCCTTTGTGACATTCCACACACCATTATGCATGGTCCAAGCTCAACATCACATGGCAGCCTACATACCAGTCCCAATCATATGGGTTGAAAATGGTGAAAAAAGGTCTCCAGAGAAAATTATGGTTAGACGTAACTTAAAAAAATAAATAAAAAAGATTTTCCATCTCCCTTCCTGTTAGATAAAGTTTCAATAATAATGGGCACTCCAATTGAATTCTTGTCAAATCCGAATCCAGGAGTGTGGAGAGGATATTGTTATCATAAGTCAGACTGGAGGAGCAGGAAGAGGTAGCAGCTGGTCTGCTGGAGCATGGCCAAGCAGCAGATGTTTCAATGGGCGTGTCACTCTCTGGGCTCCAAGCATGTGTTGCATGCACCAAGGTAACGCAATGCAGTCATGCCAACCCTTATGACCAGATAATGGCTAGTCAAAGCTAAATATTAATTGAATGACAGATGGAAAAGTGACATTAAGAGGGCAAATTAACATCAAATCAACCCCCTTATAAAGAGATGACTGAAAGAGTGAAATATATGTGGGCAGGTAAATAGAGAATTTGGGGGAAATTAAAGGAATATTATTTAAATACTACAAAAAAACCTACCATACAGTGTGATTATAGTCACTGAACTACCTACAGAGCAGTCTATATTTAATAAAGTATGACAGAGACACCCATAAAGCTATTTTCACCATGAACTATAAGTCAAAGAAGAGCAAGGTTTCTCTCAATAAAGAGAGTCCACTATGTTGCATATTCCATCCGTTACTGACCTGATGAGTCGGTGTGAGACTCTGAACCAGAGGACACTTGTTTCTTGCATCCCCCGGTTAACGGGAAAGTGAGCACCGCAGCCGGGTCCACGCAATCCGCCGCCAGTCCGCTGAGAGCCGAAACGTCGGCGGGGGCACTCTGCGCTCTCCCCGGGGATGTAACCGCGGGTCCGGCTGCGACTTTGGCAGCCGCCCCCGTCCCGGGACAGGAGGCGCAGCGCTCCCCTACAACTCTCTCCAGCTGCTGTCCGGCCGAGAAGCCGCTCCACATACAGTCCTGGATGATGATGGAGCTCAGGTTCCCGAAGGAGTCACTGGCCGTGGTCAGTTTGCAGGGCAGGTCCTGCTGCTGCTGCTGCTGCTGCTGCTGCTGTTGCTGCTCGTCCTCCTGCCCTAAGAACTGAGAGACCCACTCCAACTTGTCCCCCAGGGACGGGTGCAGCAGCCCGACCCT